CAAGAGCTGATTCATTCTCTGCATGACCTCAGTGGTTTCATCCAACCATAAAGTGAAATATCTCCCCGTATGTACTTGATAGTAATCACTCTTCCACACGCTACTCCACTGCTATTATGCAACAGCCAACCGTGCCATTTGACAAAGGAATTCTCAATAACTTCTGGTTTCTCTTTAAGGATGATGTTTGTCTTTAGCTATCTGACCGATTTTGCGAGTGTCTATTCAATAATATGACTCATTCTTACTTTTGCTACAAGAGCCCTTTATTGATGCCACAAGAGTATTTTTAATCTCTTACCTACCGTTAGCAATATAACATGTTAATTTTGTAATGGAAAGCATTATTGTGTGCTTGTCCCGGAAAACTTCAATAGTATAACAGAGAAGCCTCTGTGCTTTGTTTGAAAATGACACCAAAACATCCATGGCTTCATGCCACTACTGGACAGTTTCATAACAGGCAATGACGGGGAATTAGGATTGACTGGATGGCAAACCCAAGAAAAAAACCGTTTTAAGATAGTCATCATCAGACTTCCATGCGCTCGTTTCAAGTTCATCACTCTCACGGATTCCCTTATTTTTACACATACAGATTTCACATTTTACATTTGCAGTGGGATAGAGTTCTCTAAGTATGTTGATGGCATTCTGAACTGTAGCATTTTCATTACTATGTTCACACTTCAAAGAACCACCCTTGAGCCACTGATCTATTTTTGCAAAATGGGGATATGGTTTGAGAGAAGCAACCACCAAACATATGCTAATTTTAACAAACAATAAGCAAATGACACAAAAAGTTTATTAACCAAGATGAAGTGCAGTATTTGTGAAACATAAACCGTATTGACCAGTGCAGGATTCATAGCACAAATACAACTTTTTAATATAATGGGATTTCTCCTGCAATTGTAACTACTCTTGCATCTCAAGGTCCCACTCTGCCACTCTTATACCACCTTTCTGATCTCGTTTCCAGCTCCCCCAGTCACCCCACTCCATCATGCTGGTCTTCTTGCTAATCTTTGAACACACTTCAGGCTTTCACACTGGCTGTTCCCTGTACCTTGAACGCTCCCCCTCAAGTTTCTGCATGAGTAACTTCTCTCACCTGCCTCAAAGTCCTGGCTTAAAGTTAAGGTCTTTTTCTCCATGAAGGCTACTCAACTACATTTATCTTGTTCGACTTTCCCTTTCTTCCAAAGTGTATACTTCCTCCTAGCATGCTATATAATCTACTCATTCATTTTTTTTTTAATTGTCTGTCTTCCACCCCACCCCTCCACCGCAAGATAATGAAAACTTCACAAGGGTAGGGCTCTTTAGTTTTATTCATTGGTATATCTTCCGCATCTAGATCAGATACTGACTTGTGAAAGGTGCCCAATGAATAGTAGTTGAAAGAATGAATGAAATTTTTTCATTGCTTTTCCTTTCTAACCACCAAACTGTCTACAGATCATGGAGAACTAAACAGAAAATGAGAGCCCTCACAGGTTTTTAAGCAAGAATTATACTAACTGATTAGTATGCAAACTACACAAGGCCAGGAAATGATTTAAAGTTTAGAGAGGTTGGATGCAGAGAGTTTAGTTTTAAAGTCAATCCATGAAAGAGATTATGAAGGCCACAATTCTCCAAATAACTAGGCGTTCTTGTGTGGTTTATTTCAACCACAGTACACGTATCTATAGATATATGATCAGTGTTCGTGTAAACATATCCACATACACACATCCACATGCACGCACATAAACATAGATGTTGAACAAATCTAGAAGAAGATTAAGACATTTTCCAATCCCATGGCTATTCTTCATATAAAAGCTAATGACTTGGGTCATACCTAAGATGACTGCACGTCATCATTTTCCTGAGACGGTCACAGTTACACTTGTTGATCCAGTGCCCCTTCCAGTTATTATTATTCCCTCTTACTCGCAAACGTGACCTTGTCTGGAGAGAAGAATTACACAGTCATTCTACCTACTTATAAAGGAGGTACATAAATTCCTTTCTATTCAGGCATGCTGACCTCAGTTCTGAGGATCTAAGTGGAGTGGGGACGGAAAAGGCGACAACCATAATTAATTGTAACACCTACTGGCCAGTGCTGCAAGTGAACTATTTCAAACAGGCGATTCTTCAGCAAAGTAGTACAACCACTGCAGAAGTAGATGCCCCCGGGATCCCTGGGTGGCGCAGCGGTTTGGCGCCTGCCTTTGGCCCAGGGCGCGATCCTGGAGACCTGGGATCGAATCCCACATCGGGCTCCCGGTGCATGGAGCCTGCTTCTCTCTCTGCCTGTGTCTCTGACTCTCTCTCTCTCTCTGTGTGTGTAACTATCATAAATAAATAAAAATTAAAAAAAAAAAAAGAAGTAGATGCCCCAAGCTCCAAAGATCTAGCTTTGGAACCCAAACCCCTACCAGTCACCTACACAACCTGAAACCCCTATACGAATTTTCACATGGTGACTGGGCACACCAAGCTCTTCTCTGTAAGCCCTCCAGATGGAAAGCTGAGACCCAAGACTGCAGTCAGAAGAGAAGATTGAAAACAAAGGTTCTTCTATTATCCTGTGGCCCAGAGAGCTTTGGAAACGAGAAGAGTGTTGAGTCACATCTTCACAACAACACTTGTGTTTTGAATTCTCGGTAAATATCCCAAAACTGGACCAAACACTAAATCTTGAAATTTGCATTCCCATCTGCAAGAGCCATGCATCCATCAGGTCTGCAAACAGGTTTTGTCCAAAGCTTGCTTCTCCCAAGTCACAGGAATTCTCCCAATTGGGGTCAGCCCCTAGGTAGATGGGCAAGTGTAATGCTTCTGATTCTTGAAGACAATAACAACACAGGCTTGGAGCCCTAGTAGACGCTTAACAACTTAAGGATAAAACTATCTCTTTCCGATAGGTAGAAACAGATGACAAGCAATCAATGACCCCATCCTTCTATCTTCCTTGCTATTTCTTTTTTCTGTGTGTATTTTTTGGTTTAATTTTTTTTTAACCTTTCTTATCCTTGCATAGAATGAATAAAAGATTAAATAAAGCAAGACTCAAAATCTGAGAACAGGAGAGGGTAGTGAAGAAAAGCGAGGATTCCTTAACATCTAGGATGACTATATAATTTTTCAGCCAAATCACAGCACTTTTACATGTGAAAAGGGATGCTTCTGATAACTAACATAGGTCAATAGGAATAAGCCCGGGCCCTTGTAGACAAACTAGGAGGTTGGTTGCTCTTCTAATTCTTCATTCATATTCTCCTACAAAAGACATCCTGTGTGTAAAGAAGCAACCTTTGCCTCTGTTAAGTCAACCAAACTTCAAATATAGTCCTCTCTCCTTCAGGCCAGGCCTGGCTTTTGACAATGAAACTAGAAAGCTTTTCACTCTATTGCACCGTTCTCTATCCAACACACCATGTGAAACTGGTTCCTTTTTTACCCACAAAAACAAGCAACACACTTCAATGTGGATCCAGGCCAGGCCCCTAGCAAGCCCCAGGCCTGGAGTCAAGTGTTTCTCTTACAGCAACACTTCACAAGACTGACAGCGACCTGGCGAGAGGGTACACAGACCCAGCTACAGATTTAACAAGCATTTTGAATGGTAGATCCTTTCGTTGATGCTAGGGCACCCACTGAAACTGGACAGAACCCAAAAGCCACCTCTCCTGCAAAATACATTCATCCAGAAGGTTATGCCATCTGTCCGCAACTACAGGTAACAACTCTAGTTTGTCTTTTGCTGAGATCCCTCAGGGGTGAAAAAGGCTTTGAAAAGAGTAAGAAACTATGTTTTTCTCTCATGATCGCATTGCCCAAGTTAAACAGAGCCAAGGCTTGCTTTTATTCCATACTTCCTGTTCAGAGGGTTCAAACATTGCTCATGTTCTTCATTAAATCTTGTCCTGTGACTGGTGAATATTAATTCACTGGGATATTTTCCCTCACAATCACAGAGGGAAGACCAGTTTTGCAACCTATAACACATAAAGGACCTATAATAGTGGTTGGAGCAGAAAAGCTCCAGCTGGCTTAATCGCAAATGTTCAGAATGACTCTTGATTCTTCACGGAATTCACAGTCATTCATAAAGATTCACTGCCAAAGGTTGCTCAATGTTGTGATGGAGGCAATGGTAGAGCAAATGTGTTAGGTTAAGAAGCCGAGTACTATCCACAGCTGAGGGTCTGGAGGCAAGGGCCAGAAGTTAGGGTATCACCTGTCATAGAGACGGGGGAAGAATTCAAGCGGACTGGACAAAAGTCCTTCCAGCTAGCGGACATGTGTTGAAACGAACGAGAACTAAGAAAGTTCCGACCGTCTTCTCCCCATAAGGGGTATGATGATCTTAAATTCAAAGACGTTTTTGCTAATAAAACTGTTTTAACTGCTTCACATAATCACAAATGAGACCAAAGTATGCCAAACCCATAATCAAAACAAATCACCTAAATGATGACTTTTTAAATGTCCAAAGAAAGAAGAGATTAACTGGTTAGGAGATCAGAGAGTAAGGTTATAACGTCTTCTTTGGGAGATCGAAATTATGTCTCTCTCCCCCTCCCAGCCCCCCAACCCACCCTATCCCCTCTTCCAAACAGTGAAGTGGATACTTTCTGAAAAATACAATGGCCCTTTATGCCCGGCTTCTCTAGTCTGCTAGGGATGCCATCTGTCTCCCACACTATATAAACAATCCCTGCAGGAATCTTCTGATGACCAAACAGATTAGCAAGCTCCAGATTTTCACACCATTACTAGTATCCCCATGCAGATTAGGCCTCCGGCTTTACTAAGGACAACAGCAAGCCCACTGAGTGATCCTTCTCTGTTTATAGGTACTGTGTCATTTTAAAGATAACCTCTCAGAACCTACAGAGCCATCGGTTGGGAGGAGGGAAGGGGGGAAGGTCTCTCTCTAGGCAACGAAGAAATGAGCCCTTCGGGGAGCAGGGGACATAATACAATGAAGATCCTACCTGGGAGGCAGACGCATACATGCAATTTCACCGGGTCTAAAGGAGGGAGGCTGGGAATCGCACCGAGATCCTGTTCTTCCAGAAGCCAAGGTCTAGAGCAGCGTTGCAGAGGAAGCCGAGGGTCACACCTGGACGCAGGTGCGCGAGCGGCGGGGCCGCGAGTCGGCGGGACCCCGGGGCAGCGAGCGCGGAGGCCGGCCCGGGAGGCGCGAGCCCGCGGGGCCCTGCGGGCACTTCGGGGGCGGCCCCCGGCCTCGGCTCCGGAGCCCGCGCGCTCGAGCACGAGGAAACGGGCCCCTCCGGCTGCTCCCGAGGCTGCTCATCGTAAAGCGGGAGCCGGGAGCCCCGCAGGGAGGGGGAGGCTCCGCCCGCGCCCCCCGACCTGCCTGCGCGGCCCCGACCGCGGCCCTCCCCGAGCCCGGGCGCCCCTCCCCGCAGCGACGCCCCCGCCAGCCCGGCCGCCCCGGGGAGCGCGGGAGCCCGGAGGGCAGATGAGGGGCCGCGCCGGGCGCGGGAGAACAAAGCCGCCTCCCCGCGGCCGGGACCTGCGGCGGCGCCGGGGGGAGGGGGGAGAGGGGGGCGGGGAGGGGGCACTAACCGGGGGTCGGCGCTGCGGGGGGGGGAGGAAGGAGGAGGAAGAGGAGGGAGGGGGGCACTAACCGGGGGTCGCCGCCGCGGGGGGGAGGAGGGAGGAGGAAGAGGGGGGGGAGGAGGAGGAGGAGGAGGGGGGAGGAGGAGGGGGGCACTAACCGGGGGTCGGCGCCGCGGGGGGGGGGAGGGTCGGGGAGGGAGGAGGAGGAGGGAGGGAAGAGGCCCCGCGGCCGGGACCTGCGGTGCCGGGGGGGGGGGGGGGGGGGCACTAACCCGGGGTCAGCGCGGGGGGGGGGGGGAGGGGAGGCTCCGCGGCCGGGACCTGCGGCGCTCGGGATGGGGGGACAGTAACCGGGGGTCGGTGCCGCGAGGGGAGGGGGGGAGGAGGAGGAGGGAGGGAGGGAGAGGGAGGGAGGGAGAGGGAGGGCGCCCCCCCGCGCCGCCGCCGAGGCGCCGAGGGTCCCGGAGCCGCCGCGCGGGCCTCGCCCTCCGCCCCCCGCGCGCCCCGAGCGCTCCCGCCGCCCCCGCGCCGCCCGCCGATTGTGCCGAGTCAGCGCCCGCGGCCGCGGGGACGCGCGGACCCGGGGAGGCTGCGGCCGAGCCCGGCGCCCCCCGCCCGGCGCCCCCCGCCCCTCACCTCGGGCGCCGGCCGCGCCCCTCGCGCTGCACCCCGCGCTGCACCCCGCGCTGCATGGGCGGCACCTCCGCGGGGCGCTCGGCGGTCCCTGCACCTCGGCCCGGGCGCCTCCCGAGCGGGCGCCGACAGCGGGGCGGGCGCGGCGCGCGGAGGGCGAATCCCGGGGCTGCGGAGGGTCGGGAGCTGCTCGCCTGCGACGCCGGCGGCCGCCAGGGCTCGGGGAGGCGCGGGGCGCGAAGGAGGGGACCCGGCGGGGCCGGCGGGCGGCGCTCCTCCTACCGGCTCCGGGAGGCTGCGGGCGGCTGCGGGCGGCAGGGTCCTGCCTCGGTTGCCCCGACCGCAAGGGCGAGGCGGTGACAGCCCCGTCACCTGCACGGGGCGTGGCCGCCGTTTAAGAGGGAGCGTGGAGGGGACCCGGGGGCGGGGGGGGGGGGGGGCTCAGCCGCTGAGCACCTGCCCTCGGCCCAGGGCGTGACCCCGGGGTCCCGGGATCCAGTCCCTGCAGGGAGCCTGCTTCCCCCTCTGCCTGGGTCTCTGCACCCCCCTCTCTGTGTCTTTCATGAATGAATAAATTTTAAAAATCCAAAAATCAAATAAATAAATAAACGGCATCGTTGAGAGCGCCCGAGCCACTTTGCCCTAAAGAGCGCACTAAATTAAAAATTACTCAGTTAATAACCTTCAGTTTTCTAGTTACTTCTCTAGCGTATCTTCACTGCCTCAGTCCCACTTGGGGAGAAAGGCAAAAAAAAAAAAAAAAAAAAAGCCGAAATGGAAGGCTCTTGCCCTCCTGTGCATGGTTATCTACCCAGAGGTGGTAAAGATTTACTTGATTTTAAACAATTATAGCCATACGGAGGAAGAACCCGAACATGGCCCCCTCCCTCCAAATAATGGGTATCCATTATTTTGAGATCTTTGAGAATGTGCTTTCAGTATTACCCGTCTCTGCTCCTTCTCTGTTAATTAGCGGGAAGGATATTTTCCCTTGGAAATTACCCCTCCCCCTTGCCCCCCGAGTCCTTATGGTTCAGGATCCTGACACCTCCCATCCTCACTCCCCGGAACTGGCCAGTCCTCATATTCCAGATCATAGTAATCGGTTCTAGGATGGGTATGTTGGTCCGGGCAGGCCATCTGGGGCTTTTGCTGAATCAGTTCAGGAAAAGAAGCCCTTTTAACTAGGATAACCAGTAAACCAATAATACTAAGTACTACCGCTCAAAGGAGGCCAACTCCAAGGAAAGGAAAGCTGAGGGAGAGAGGAGGATGTCTTTTGAGCCTTAGGAGGTGAATATGTCTGAATGAACACTACCCCTGTGGCAATAAACCCCCTTCCACCTGTCATAAAAAAGCCCTGACCCATTATTCCCACATATCTGCTGATTGCTAGACGATTCCACAGAACTGATGAACCCCCCCAGCACATAGGGAAGAAAAGTTCTATTTTGTCCCTACTGGAAGAATCAGGTTCCCCAAAGATCCCACATGACGTTCTCTTTCTACAACTTGCTCTAGACCCAGGAAGCCCACATCTGAAACCCTTAACTTCCTATATTGATTAGCTGCTATGTTACGATCTTGCCTTAAACAAAAAGCGTAAAAATAAATAGCACTAAAATGGATCACTAGTGCTGCCCTTAAGTTTAAAAAAAAAAAAAAAAAAACTTTTCTCCTACCTAAAAAGCAGCCCCGTCTATCTTTAAATTCTTCTAGATGTCAAGCATAAATCTTGAGGCAAAGGCATCAAATAAGATTAATGATGAAGTCATCCTAGACTCTTAAATTTCCAAAAGTATGTAAAGATCAGATTCTGTCATGCTGTACCCCCATCCCCCCTCACCATCACTACCTAATCTGAGTCTCCACCTCACAGGATGCGTGGCAGGTTCTCACCCAGCCTCTCCTTGAACCATTCCCATAAAGAAAACTAGTTTTTCACGTGCTGGTCAATTCCATGTTGAAACTGACTTAATGGTAGAAAGTGACTCCTATTATGGAATCACAATAATTTTGCACCTCACAGAACTCTAGGTACTCAAGGCAGACCTGTGGACCACTTGAATTGTGTCTTTGAAGATGTTGGCATGGCCCTTAGCTACTTAGTAGATGACAGTGTCCCAACTCTTCACCATCGGGGTGACCTCCTTACTATGGACATACTCAAGTTTATGGACATTCCCCCTGAAGTGTAATGTCCAAAGCTGAACCCAAAGGCAGATTCTTTTTTTTTTTTAATTTTTTTTTATTTATTTATGATAGTCACAGAGAGAGAGAGAGAGAGAGAGGCAGAGACACAGGCAGAGGGAGAAGCAGGCTCCATGCACCGGGAGCCTGATGTGGGATTCGATCCCGGGTCTCCAGGATCGCGCCCTGGGCCAAAGGCAGGCGCCAAACCGCTGCGCCACCCAGGGATCCCCCAAAGGCAGATTCTAAGAAACTTAAGCTTCAAGCCCCTTGTAACAGCAGCACAAGAGGAATCCTACAAGTATATTCACGTGATCTTATGTTTCTGGAAAGGTTTTGAGAGTAAAATATTTTAATCTCAAGAGACTGCTGTGTCTTTTCATCTAACTTCCTTTCTGTCATAATTTTCCTCTCTGGAAGCATCAGAGTGGTTGTGGGCATTTTGGAGATCTCAATAAGGGGAAGTTGAGGTTAAATGAGATAAATGTATGTGGTTTGTGGGCATTACAGCCCATAGTTGCAGAGACATCTGTCCCAGCTGCTCAAAGGCCTACCATCATCTGGATCACCGGGCATTGTGGCACCAAGGTGGAGGGCCAGAAAGTTCAGCAATGGTCCTTCAGGATCTAGCATGGAAGTACACAGGTAATGAGGTTGACAATATTTGAAATACATGGATCTAGAACGAGAATGTGGAAAACCCCCCCACATCTTAATATATGGGAAAGAAATTTGATAGAGACTTTTCCATATTTGACAACAATCTTAAAAATGTATATGGCTTTTCCAGAAATGACTGGAAAGAAACTTCTAAACTGTCAATAATAAAAACAAATGTCAACTATGCTAATAGAAAGACTGAAATATCTACCAATACTATAGAACAAAATGTGACTGTATCATTTTTACATAAAGAAGAAAACAGAGTATGCAGACAAAGTGTAGGAAAAAGTCCTGTAAAAGTATAGTAGGCAATTCATTTTTTTCAAGTCATGGTGTTTTTTTTTTTAAAACATTTTAGTCTTTTTTTTTTTTTTATGATAGTCACACACAGAGAGAGAGAGAGAGAGGCAGAGACACAGGCAGAGGGAGAAGCAGGCTCCATGCACTGGGAGCCTGATGTGGGATTCGATCCCGGGTCTCCAGTATTCGTGCCCTGGGCCAAAGGCAGGCGCCAAACCGCTGCACCACCCAGGGATCCTCAAGTCATGGTGTTTTTTATATTTGATGATGTCTGATACCTGTGAATTTATAATCCGTTGTGATTTTTTAAATTCTTTTTTTTAATTCTAAATATGATCTTATGTATTCTTATGTATACTTATGTATTCTTTCCTTTAAAAAGGCTCTGAACTATATAATCTTCAGAGTTCCAAACACTGGATTTATCCGCTGTTGAACCTGATACTCCAAATGTGGCCTAATCGGTGTAGCAGCATTCATGGGGTGGAGCTTCCAACAGAAATGACCAAGTACCATAATGCTTTGACACGTCCATTCCTGTCATATTTTGTCTATCAGCCATTATAAGGAAATGAATGGCCAATCACAACTAGGGAATTGGGGTCTGACTGAAGAATACTCATTTGAAAGCCAAAACACAACTTAAATGTATTATAACTTTTCTATATTTTTGAAGAAAGTATACCAAACCTAACTGATTCATTATTTTCATAGTGGCTAGAATTTATTTATTATGCTATAATTCAGTGATGACCTTAGGTGCTAGGTAGGTATAATATGTTTTTGCCTCTACACCAAATGGCCTTAGACTATTACAGCTGTTCTTGTTGTGAAGGACTTTAAAAGTAACTTTCTGCTTAGAACCCCCTATTTTTCCTACCTTTCCACTCTTTCTTTTATTGATAATCTTATCTTATTGTAAGTTTCTGCTTATGGTCTGGTATGGAATCTATAGACTAAATATCTCTTCTCATTAGAACTCTGTCTAGAATGGCTTGTGGGAGGGAGGAGGGTCAGTGAATAATACATGTGAGCTTTAGTGCATACAATTTGTGTGATCTATTTCGGTTGCTTGGGATCCTTTCACACTTTCTTCTAATTTCTCACCCATTACCAATCCAAAAGCTCTGGATTATCCCTTTCATATATTCCTTATATAAATATTTAATAACCACTTATTGTGATCCAGATAGTCTTCTGAGTTTGAGGATACAAAAGTGAGGGGAATAGACAAAAATCCCCGCCTTTGTAAAGCTTATATTCTAATGGGATAGGGAAAGAGCCACCTGGGTGGCTCAGTGGTTGAGCATCTGCCTTTGGCTCAGGTTATGATCCCGGGGTCCTGGAATCGAGTCTCACATCAGGCTCCCTGTGGGACCTGTGTCCCCCTCTGCCTGTGTCTCTGCCTCTCTCTGTGTGTCTCTCATGAATAAATAAATAAAATCTTTTAAAAACAGGGGGTGGATAGGAAAGGAGAGGTCAAATGATAAGGTACAGCAATAGCATATTTATAATATCCATATGTTCCTCTATATTTTTCATCCTCCATTGCATTTAGGAGAGCCATGTGATCACTTCTGGCAAACAGAATTTAAGCAGCAATGATGGGTATCACTTCTGGCTCTGAAAATTAAGAATCCAATGTGACTTCTCTCATTCTATTAACCTTCACTGAAACCACAGAGGCCACATATTGCAGTGGTGTCATCCCAAGATAAGGCAGGAGCCTGGATTCCTGAATCATCACTTGGAGGAAAGCTGACTGACTGACATAAAATCATGATACAATCAAGAAATAAAGGGCTATAATATTTAGATGTGGGGTATTTATTTGTTACACCAGCCAGCATTGGTGATCCTGAAATTGCTGGTATTACTATAATTAAAACCTAAAATATGTGTCATTTACTTGGGAGTTCAATAGCAAACAGCAAGGAACCTAATATTAGAAGCTAGAAAGATAGTTATGATAATATGCAGTGGCAAAACAACTAATAAAATGTTGCTA